CCTACATTAAGAGACATATGTGGCCTAAGTAAAATCTGAGTAGGAGGGGAGGTGTAGGACAAGGTTGAAGCAACAGGTAAATGGGAATGTGAAAACAGGTGATAAATTGTGTGACCACCAATGAGGGACAGGAGGGGTGTGCTGTAGGACAACATAGCAAAGAGCAACTGGATTAAATTAAGTAAAAGAAACTTTAGATTGAATATCTGGGTAAATGTCCTAAGCCCAAGATCAGTTAGGTTCTGGAAAAATACCGGTTGGAAATGCCAGAAGCAAAAATGCCTTGCAAATTAAAATAATTAAAGAAAGAAAGAAGACTAGACAAAACTCCACAGTCTACATAGCAGAAGGCAAGCCTGCATTGTCAGATGCTACAGACTAGCTACCTCGGATACCTTTAAAATCTCCTATAATATCTGAATGCCTTGACACGTGTTCTGCATGTACCCTCGCAACACTGCAGATGGGAAACTGAGGCCCTGGAAAAATAAGATCATTTTCTTTTCCAAACAGAACTAAACACTTCATTGGGACTTAGGCAGGATTCAGAAGCCGGAGTCCCGAATTATGATCCTGAAAACCCCTGCTTGGCTGTCACCTGACTGTAGGTATTTATGCTCCATACCTGCCTTACTTTTCTCATTCAAAGTCCCCTGAGAGCCTACAGTCCTGCCTCTTCACAGTCCCATAAGCTCTTTGGTCCTCACAGGACAGAGCACCTACCTCATGCCTAGATCCCACTGGGATCCAGTCATTCGTTCACCTGAATCCCGTGAGCAGCTTATTCTAGTGGATGTTCGCTGAGAAAGCCTGATGCCCGCTGAAAGGATCAGGGTGAGGATGTAATGCAGTCACAACTTTCTTCTGAAAGGTAGCCAGGAGTGGTGGTTAGAGACTTACCCAGACTGTGAGAAACTCTCTGTCTTCCTTGAAGGCGGTTGTAATGATCATTCATGAAGCTGCTCTGGGATGGGATACTCTCTACCCCTCCTGTGGGAAGAAAAGGTAGAATTTAGCATTCACTTCCGGAAAGAGAGTGCATGACTCTGTAGCCTGGTGGGTAAAGCACTCATCTGGGCAGAGAAGACCTGAGCAGTTTATGTATTTTATTTAAAATAGTCACAGGGCTATAATAGCTCCACAGGATTCAAACAAGTTCCCTATTGTTACAGCATTGTGTGGTTTCCAACTGTATTTTTCGCTAGAAAAGCACATAGGGGAAATATCACAGGACTAAGAAAGACATACAATATTGTTAAAATCGGGACTTACATTCTTTCTAAAGGAGGTTTCTGGATTCAATCAGGATATGGCAATGAGTCCGACATAACACAGAACATAAAGCAACATGCTATCGAGGCTTTGGACTTCACAAGCTTGAGACAAAAAACATAACATTAAGAAAATGCTGACTTGCCCTTTTGCCACAGCTATGTGGGGCAGTCAGTACTGATTTTGAAAGCTGCTTGATTTTTTTTTTTAAATAGTTTTCCGGGTCACATTTAATCAAGTCCAAACAGCAAAGTCTCTGTTGTAGTGATTTTCCTATAAATAAAGTTTGACAGGAAGAAATCAAATACCTTTGAAATCAACAGTAGAGTATTTAGACAAGTTGTCTCGAACTAAGGACTGACTCCAGCCTTGTAAATCATTGCCAAATATCACACGGCTTCACAGCTTAATCCTCTGAATAGATATCTAATACTGTGTAAATCTGTTGTCAGGAGGACAGCAGCACCTGTGATGTATTTCAGGGTGACATTTATGGGACTCAAGAGAAAATGGTAACCCGCTCTGAATTGAAGGCCAGTCTTACAGGATTTGAACAAGGCACCTTCTGCTCTGAGTGGAGGCTGAGCTGTGGCACATAAATCAGGAACTGGGGGAAGAAGTCTGTAAAGCACATGTCTGGAAAGTCGGAAGCCCTGTCTAAAGTGCTGTCTCTACATCATGCAGGGTAAAAGATAATAGGAAGAAGGGCCTTCGTTGTGTGGCATTTGAATCATTTTATTTAAAAAATGCAAAGGGCTGACCTGTGAATGTGTTTTGGTATTTTGGCCCCCACCTGCAGCCACCCCGTCTTCCCAGCGGGCCTCGGTTGACAGAGAACTCAAGGAATCTTCAGGGCAAGTGTCATTATCAGCATTAAACTCTCCATAGGTCAAAGGAATATATATCATAATGGAACCTTTTATATAAGGAATGTGTCCATCACGTCATGTTACAAGTCAAAGGGAGAGCAATTAAATAGCTACGGTGTATGGCTAGGTACAGGCATTCAAAAAGCTGAAGGCAGAATTGAGCTAAGTTACGTGGCTTTCTGTAAGTGGCATAGTTTAGATCCATAGTAACCAGGACACACTTTTTGGGGGGAGCAAATCTTAGACTGGGTTCTGCCATTTTAAAACTAGTCTATGTGTACTGAACTTCTGTTCTGTTACAGGTATAGACTGGTTTCTGATCACTCATATCCATATAAGCGCAATGTCTGTACCTGACCTATATGTGCAGTGCATGTACAGCCAGTGCTATGGGCCAAACCCTACAGCCCTTTCTCCTTATTTAGGCAGTTTTCTCCTTATGGTCACTAGGAGGGACAAACAAAGATTGTGCATTTTGCTTGCACAGTAATGCAGCCTAAATACACGGATTTTATTTACAAGAATAAGAGATGCTATAAAACTAGTAGTGTATACAGAAATATATATATATATATATAATATAAATATGCATGTGTGTGTGCACATGTACCTGTCTGTGTGCATATATATAGGTGTAAGAAAAGAAAGAATGCTTGGTAACATGGTGTAGTCTGAGATTTTCTTGACCACAAGAGTAGCAAATGGTAACAAGGCTACCAGGCTATACACAGCATTTCAAAGATGCATCAGTAAAAGCTTGGTATCATGTTACCACTAATCCATTTCAGAAATGTTAGAGAGGTTTGAAAATGTTTTAGCAATGCCATTTTTCATTTACCTTCCACCTGTAATAGCCTGGTTGCCATATTTAATTGCAAGTAGCAGCAGAAATATATCACTGAAATATCTCTTTATGCATGTATAAACAGATAAAAATCGTCTATCATAAAATAGCTTTTCTCTGCACAATACTGTCATAGTTTAAAGTCTCAGGGATATTTCAGGGGGAAAACAAATGGGGTGCCCCAGTGGTAAATTAGAAATCTCACTTGTCTAAAATTCCCTGGGTGTCAGACCTTAAACCCAGCTTAGCTGTCCAGTCTATAAGCATTTTATAATGTACTCATCACTACCCATCAGTCCCTGGAGCTGGGGCCAGTGAGGTGAGTTAGCACGTTGCACCATGTTAAAGAGTGCATCAGTAGTCACTGCTCCATGGTCTATTCCAGAGTTTCTTCCAAGAGAGCTACCCCAAATATACCAACTAAGGATCTAGTCTATTGTGTCTGTCCTGGGCATAGTGACTCCAGGAGCTGCTGCCATAATGCTGGTTGTCACTAAAATGTCATACAAAAATGTATAAATCATTAAAAATATTGAGTGTGTTGCACACAGATGTTTAGACATCAGTACGGCCTACTCCAGTTTGCATAGTTAAATGAATATACTTTGAGAAGAATGGACTATCCAATGATTAGGACAATAGTTTGGGGTCTGAGAGACCTGGGGTAAAATTTCTGCCCTAAGAGCCTAAATACATTTGTGAGACTGGGCCTTAATCTCTGTGAGCCTCGATCCTCTGGACAGCGCTTCCCTCCATCACAGGTTTGTTGCAAAGATAGATGAATCTATTCAAGACTGGGAAGCTCTCAAATCCTACGATAATGAGGGGGAGGAGCATACAAATACCTCCGGACAGGTGGGAGCAAGGGATTTGCTGGGAGAAACAGTATGTACAGGAATGCAGCAGAGAAAAGATTATAAAAGATGGGATGGAAATGAATCCATCAAAGTCAGAGAGACGCTCACAGTGCCAGGGAACAATTTCCTTTTCACACAGTGGTCAGTAAGAATTGAAGCTGTGACTACTGACTGTGGCATGTATAACCATTTACTCCATGTATTTTGCCTCTGACCAGTAATCTCAAATTCCATTCAATCTGCACAGATTTCAGTTGTTTGCCTGATAGCATCAGTTCTTGATTATGACGAGCTGGGCGCTATGAAATCTCTCAGAACACTGAGGGCTTTGCGGCCTCTCCGAGCCTTATCCAGATTTGAAAGCATAAGGGTAAGGGTATCTTTTAGTGTCTATGAAGTGTTCAGTTTTAATGCCAAATACCTGATCACTTTTCTTTACAGGGAAATAATATTGAGTCTTCTCTTTTAGGTGCTGCCCAGAGAGCTGGACCACAGCAAAAAACAAGCAAACCATGAATTGAACAAAATCATATACACAGTTCCTTTAAAGAGCCTAATAACCTCAGAGCCAATGGCAATTCAGAAGGAAATTTTAAATTGGTAATGGTGTTATCCAATTAAAATGTTTATCATGGCAACTTTAAGATTTTTGACCCTTTTGGTAAATGATAGGATCTTGCAGAGCAATCCACCTGGAAAGCCATGAATACAGCATGTATGTAATGTCATATTTTCCATCATGGGAAATGCGCCCACACTTCCGTAAGTTGTAAAATAAACTAAAACGTTGATGCCATTAAGCAGCCATGATCTTTTTTTTTTCCTTCCTGCCTGCTTAACACCCACTGCTATTCCTAGGAGTGCTGTATTCTTGGCTGGAGGAAAAAAGATACCCTTAGAAATCATTTAGGTACCTTTTCAATGAGTTGGCATTAAGATGGAAACAAAGGCTCTGCTCTCTGGAAAGAACTGTGGATATATGTGGATGCTAAAACACTGTTTTTTTCCTTCATTATTCTAATACTACAGGTTCTGACTACAGCTTTCCTTCCTCATTCCATTAACAGGCTTTTTATTTGCAGGTAGGAGAGGCAGAAGAGAAGCCAAATGGCAGGAATGTGCTAATAGTTTGGAATTTTGCTTTGTGTCTCCATTCAGGTCTCTTTAATAAGCCTCATAGCTAATACACTTGGATACTCCGAAATGGGTCCCATTAAATCCCTTAGGACCCTCCGGGCTCTGAGACCATTAAGAGCATTGTCACGATTTGAAGGGATGAGGGTAAGAGGAAATAAAGCAACCATCGAAGCCCCTTGTGTGACCATCAAGCATGTCAAAGGGCAATATTTCATTTGGTTTTGTTTTCATTGAGACTGCAAAAGGACACGAATGAAAATGCTGTGTCAAAAAAAAATCCCTCTGTTGTCTTGACTGCAGTAGCATAGCTACAGCTTTTACTCTCTGGTGGATGTCCTGATAAGCTAATCCCGCTGCATAACTTATCCTGCTGTGTTTAAAACCCTGCTTTTTGACTGAGGGAACATCTGGCTAACAGTGACCTCTCAATTATGAAGCACATCAGGGGAAATGATTCTGCTATGGGTTTGCTCCCTGCTTTCAAATTGTATTAAAATTAGAGAGGGTGGGAAAGTTCTCAAGGACTTTTTCACTTCTAATGAAAATGAACATTAGAGGCATTAGAAACATGGAAAACAAATGAGCAAATGCAACATTTTTTTTTCCTTTGATACATTTCAATCTTACCATGGAATGCCAGGATTAGCATCGTAACCAAGTGACTTAACGCTTATTGTTGTATTTTGTTTGTATGCCTGTCTTCTTCCTTTCACATTTTCTTGCATGAGCACCTGTTTGTGCATGTTTCGCATAGCAAGTATGTTTAATAATGTAGACCTGTGTTTTCTTTACTTAACTATTCTATCATGCTTGACTAGCAAATGATGTGAACTGCCTTCTGTACTAGCCAAAGTTAATATTGATTATGTAACTCCAATGGCAAGGTTGGAATTCACATATGGTGCAAACTTTAACTTTGGAGGAGAACATACGGCATAACTTAGCACTATTTTTAAGATCTCTGGGTGTGTCTACACATGCATTTAAGTGCAACTAAATTTAATGTGTATTAAGCAATTTTTGGCACGTGTCTTCATGTGCAGACACTTGGCATTAAAGTTAGTGCCAAGCCCCTGCAGCCCTGCCATGTGCCCCTAGGGGCTGGGCAGACCTGGCACTAAGTTAGTGCTGGGTTGTGTCTACATGTGCGTTAATATGCTTTAACTAATTGCACCTAAATTTGATGCCTGCATTTGCATGAGCATGATACAATTTAGGCATGATGGCCATTTTTACATGTGCTCCCAATGCGGTGCCAGGAGCTTTTAATTAGTAAGCCACGCTAATTAAAAGTACCCCTGCATCACATGCATTAGTGGTGCAGCACATCCCCACGCTGTGAAAATGATGGTGGTGCACTTTGAACTAAAGCACATTGAACGTGTTTTAGTTCAAAGCACGCTGCTGCCATTTTCTCAATGCGGCGGTGTGCTACGCTGCTGATACACACGATGCACAAGGCTGCCAGTGCACATCAATTTACATGTTCCAGCAGACTCGATTAATCAAGTCTGTTCTAATATGCTGGATTTCTAGCACATTAGAGCCGGCTCCCTGTAAGTGCCTGATTAGCCTCATTTTAGCATTTTTAATGCGCATTGGGGGCGCACATGTGTAGATGCATACCTGTAATGCATATTAAATTAGGCTAACACATCTCGTGTAAGTGCACCCTCTGGTGCAGATCTATATAAAATGACATGGTCTGCCTGGAGATGCAAAAATCCCTAAAATATGGCAAACAAACGGTGAAAAGATGTTAGGATACAGCTACTTTCACTCTAGGCCACAAAGTATGAAGTTCTTGTGCAATAAGTTGTTGAGCTCTGCCAGAGTTCCAGCAATCATATGCCCACATCGCAATCCTGGTAAGACAACCCAAGAGCAGAAAGGGCCCAGAAGCTGAACTAAGACTAGAAGTAATAGAAGCATAGGGATGGAGTCGTGTGGGAGGAGCTGGCATGCTTCTCCCATGCCAGTTTTGCTCTCTGGATATATTGTTCCACAGAGCTATCACTCTGGCATTTTTGAAGGCATTGATATCACTAATAAAATACAGCAAAATGTTGTCACAGTGTATTATTATCCATGCTGATGATGAGAAATGCAAAAGGTTCAAGGAGCTGTATTCAGATAGGTCTTCAAATCTGAACTATCCTGATTCACCTCCATTTTTTTCAGTGAAGCTAGATAATAAAATATTTGAAAGAGTGTTCACAAAAATGTAATAAAAGCAGCAGTGCATAGGCAAAAGCAGCCAGATCCTCAGCTGGTAGAAAGTGATGTTGCATTAGTGAAGTTAATGGAGCTCTGTATACATATATCAGCTGAGGGATTGACTCTGTGTCTTTACAAGGAAAAGATGGCGAAATACACCCAGCCCCACCGATAACTAGCCACAAAAGCCGGTGTTAACACAGAGTGGCTCCAGTTCCTCCACAGGAGCAAATTGTGTGAGAACTTAAATTGATTTAAACTTAACTTAATATTGGCTCATATTGGTTTTGCGCACCCAAATTAAAACAGCACATTTTAAAATAGCATGAGTGCATACGCATGGGTTTGTATCAACGTAACTAAATTGTCTTAAAGCTTGCAACATTTTGTAGCCCAAAATGTGGGGGAAATTGGGGGACTGAACTGCTGAGGAAATGGAGAAGAATTAAGGTTACTGGGGTAGTTCTGGAATAGAGTTTGGCTAGGTGGTGATGTGGCATATAATGGGCCATTTTCTGTTACATCACTCCCAAGAGTTTGAATCCTAATGCCCCTATAATTAGAGCCACTCCATGACACAAGGGGTTTCTTTTCTGTGCACCACTGGCATAGTAGGAACATGTTTAGTCCTTGTGGCGCCTCTTTTCTGAACTATTGGAGGTACTGAATGAGCTTGTAATTTATGATAAAGTGTAATTGAGAATACGTGCTGCTGGAAAATCAAATCATTTTATTTTTAGTAATGTCTAACCATACTTAACATGGCTAGGGACAGTAAGACCTTTCATTATCAGGAGGTCATATGTTCCAGAACGCAAGGAAAATTACCAACACAGAGATGGATTAAATAATGTTAATGTTGAGACAAAAGCACACAGAGGAAGAAGATGGTAGGTTGAACTAGTATAACGTTTTTCATTTGATGATCTCAAAGCGCTTTACAGGACTAAGAGGGGAACAAGAAAATCGTCCTCGAGGCCTGCTAGAATATGCTTTGCTAAACTATGCTGTGCATAGGCTTTGGAGTCCTGGCTAGATGATGAGGTTGTATGGGAAAGGGCAGAGGAGGTTTGAAGCCAGTGAATCAGAGAACTCAATAGATGTGTAGGGAGGGTGTCAGGCAGGTCCCACCTACGTGTGAGTTTTCTGCTTGGCAGGGGACTGTCATCGCTAGACTTCAAACTTCTACCTGTTTCCAAGGCCCTTCTCTGTGACATGAAAGCCTGCTGGTACATACTCATCAGCCAAATGCCGCCTCTTCCCTCAGGATGGCAACTGTAACTGTGCCCATGCATATCTTAAAAAGGTCACATGTGATGACCTCTTTACCCCCGTTATAATAATAGTCCATTTAAATTGACTAATGATGCCAGGCAAAATTATGGTAAGGTTAATATGAGACACATCCGCAAAGAATTAAAGAATGATAACAGAATTAGTCCTATTTAGAAGGATTTCAGGGAAATAAGTTTTATCAAACACATTTCATATTGTTTTATGATTGGACTTTTGACTTAGTCCCACAAGACACTCTGATTTATAAGCTAGCACTATGCAAAATCAATACAACATATCTCAAATGGATTATGAACTGGCTGATGAATCTCAAAATGTAATTGTACATGGGGGATTGCCCAGTAATAATATGTTTCTAGTAGAGTCCCTCAGCGGGGCTAGCCTTGACCCAGAGCTGTTCAAAAACTTAATCAATGATCTGAAAAAAAATATAAAATCTTTGCTGATAAAATTTATGGATGATGCAAAAATGGTGGAATAGTAAATAATAGGGATAGTTAGGGATGGTTCACTTACACAGAGTGACCTGGAACAGATAGTTATCTGGACTCAGTTGAACAAACATGCATGTTAATACATCAAGGGTGTGTCTACACAAAACTAATCTACTGTGCAGTAAAGCATCACTGTCTACACATGCGTATCACTGCACAGTAAATTAGCCTACTGTGCAGTTAGCTACTACCTGTAAATACAGGTAGCAAACTAACTGTGCAGTAGACTCTGTACTGTAGCGCCAGGACTTGGGGGGAGCTCTATGTTTCTGGCCAGCCCCAGAGAGCTCCCCCCCAGTCCTGGCCCTGCTCAGCTCCCAGCTCCTGTGGACAGGGCTGGTACAGGGGAGGAGAAGAAAGCTGAGCAGCACCAGTACAGGGGAGAGGCAGAAAGCTAGCCCATTCCAGCACTACTTGGCTCTCATCTCCTGGGAGGACCTTGGAAATGAACAGTGCCAGGACCAGAGAAGTTTCCCATCCCTTGTGGCCCCCTGGTGTTGGGGCTGACTGGGAGCAAATTTGCTGTGCTGTGCTGTGCTAGATGCTTATGTATAGATACCCCAGAAACAGGGCAGTTCCCTGCCAGGCCCTGACTGGGTGGGGAAGCCTTGCTGGTCATGAGACTTGTCCCATGTGCACGGGGCTGGGAAAGCTTTGCAGCAGCAGCTGTCTCCAGGCCCCGTGCACATCAGGACCCTTCCCAATGTGCACGAGGCCAGGAGACGGTTGCTCCTGCAGGTGGCAGAGCTATCCTGGCCCAGTGATCCCTGCCAGCCCCCAAGCTGCCACCCCCCAGAGAGCCTGGAGCTCCCCCTGGTTGCTGCAGGGGGTAAACACAGGATAGGAGCAGTCCTGTATCAGATTGCTCCCTTTGGGAGCAGATTTGCTCTCAACAGGGAAGACTTACTGCACACTATTTTACTATGCAGTAAGCATTTATAATATTAATAGCATATGTAGATGTACCCCAGAAGAACACAAGCTCCCAGTATGATGCAGTAGCTCAGAGGGCTAATGCAAGCCTTCAATATATAAGCAAGGGACTTTTACTTGACAATTGAGAGGTAAGACCACCTCCTATACAACATTACTGAGATTGGTATTGGAAGTCTAGTATTCACACTTAAAATGAGTATT